GGTGCAGAGTCGAGGGTATCGCCCTCATGTTGTGGATCCATGGCCTTCCGAACAGAGCATTGTACCTCATGTCTCCTTAGATTACAAAGAACTTGGCTTCCTGAATGGTCCCAGCGATGTTCACTGGTAATGTTATCTGCCCTTTGATGGTCTAACATGCCATGTTGAATCCGTTCAGAACTCGAACTGCAGGCACGATCTGATCTCTTAGACCAAGTTGTTCCACGACCCTCGATCTGATGATATTGGCCGAGCCACCTAGATCAATTAACATACGCTTAACTCGAGATTTATTTATGAGTACAGATATTACCAGTGCATCATTGTGGGGCTACACGATCCCTTCAGTGTCCTCATCGTTGAAAGACAAGGTTCCATCTGGCACGTAATACCGAGTCTATTTTTCCCTTGTGATGGATACTTTGGTGCGCTTCAGCATCAGCCCCTGGGAACATCGACCCCGCCGATGATCATGTTAGTGATGTGCTAAGGTTCCTCCTGCTCGATCTGTTTATTAGAATCTCTATTCCTGAAATGATTCTTGGCTCGATCGCTCAGGAACTCTCGGAGATGTCCGTTATTGAATAACCGGGCTACTTCCTCTCTTAATTGTCGGCAGTCTTCCGTTCTGTGGCCGTGAGTGCCATGATATTTGCACATTAGGTTAGGATCCCTTTGGGATGGATCGGGCTATAAAGGTCGAGGCCACTTGGTGTCTCTGATGCGTCCGATGTCGGTTATGATAGCAGCAGCATCGACGTTGAAGTTGTACTCTGATAACCTTGGTGTTTCCATAGGACCGATGGGCCTGTCAAAACCGTTTTTGCTCATGAGTCCCCAGTTATTTTGACTCTGATCTCTTCTCCTTTCATTTCTCACAGGGTTTCGTCCAGATCCGTTACTCCTAGGATCACCGATATATGGCTAATATCGGTCCCTACTTGGCCTTGGTTCACGATCAATGTCTCTTTTGGGTCTGTCACTGGCTCAGATAGGATAAACATACCCGGAAGGGGCCATGAGCTGATCATCTTCGACTCTAATTTTTGACTAATATCGGTTATGCACATCGGCCTAAGTTACGACCGGATATTCTACCAGATTTTGCTTCAACTGCTGTGAATCCAACGAGCTTCGAGTATTGAGTCCTTGGGTGAAGGCCTGAACGGCCCAATCATCCGCGACTGGAGGCAGGAGTATCCGTTCCATCTGAAATCGGGACACGAATTCTCTGAGTATCTCATTATCCCTCTGTTTCACTTTGAAAAGGTCTGACTTCCTAGTCTCGACCTTGATAGCCCCGGCATGTGCTTTTACGAAGGAATCTGCAAGCATAGCAAATGAGTCAATAGAGTTAGGAGGTAGGTTGTGATACCATATCATAGCTCCTTTTGACAAGGTCTCTCTGAATTATTTTAGCAAGGCAGAATCGATCTCATCATCTTTTAATTCATTCCCCTTGATGGCACACATGTATGAGGTCACATGTTCATTTGGGTCAGTTGTTCCATTGTACTTAGGAATTTCAGGCATGCGAAACTTTTTAGGGATCGGCTTCAGGGTTGCGCTCGGAGGGAAGGGTTTCTGAACAAACTTCTTGAAGTCTAGGCCTTTCAATATCGGTGGCGCTCCAGGGATTTGGTCGACCCTGGAGATGTAAGTCTCCATCTTTTTGTCGTTGGCTTCAATTTTCTTTTCTCCCGTTTCCACCCGTTTTTTCAATTCCTCGATCATCTTTATTATTTAGGGGTTGGTTCTGGGTTCAACTTCATTTGGCCTATCTGCGGCTGGTTCATTTCTGCGAGTATTTTTCCAGGATGATTCGGGCTCGACTCTACTGGGAGCGCGATTTCAGTTCTGCAGTTAGGTTATCACTGCATGCTGAGCTTGCAGCATTTCGAAGATCACCCGCAAGCTGATCCCATCTCCATCATCGTCACGAGCATTTTGAGCTACCGACTGCACTCCCCCCGCGGATGCTGTTCTCAGGATCGGTGGGCAAATTTGTTTTGATGGCCACATGTGAGCTGGCGTCGATCAGGTTTGCGACCAGAATTCCGTTGGGATCGGTGGGGGGCACCTCATTACCGGGCGCTATTTTGTTGTTCTCGCCATGGTGGCCAAACTCAGCATCCGTGTTTAGAGGGATAGATTGGGAGTTTGACATTTTAACGCAAACCTGAAATCAAAGGCACTTTAAAGAACAAGTATGAAATAGGCTGTGTTACGAAAATTTGTATCAAATTGCCGCTATTATCTTTAGCCCCACGGTGGGCGCCAAACTATTTACCCTCAAAATCGAATTACAATTAAATTTATAAGTGGTGTTAAAGATACGCGAATTAATTTGATACAAAGCGATAAATTAAGTCAAATTTGAACAAACAAAGATAAAATGGATTCAAACCATACAAGGAGGATAGTTTTAGCTTTAATGAAGTATTCGCCCTCGATCCGGGCTCACTATGGCCAGCACTAATGAATAAGAGAAAGAGCTAATAACAGAGAAAATAATAATATGTTGCTTTGAAATGCGTGTTACAGTATGTCCTTTCAATAAAAATCATCTCCTTTATATAGTAGGAGAGTTTCATCCCTAGTACAATTCTAAAAAAGGTAAAAATCTTCTTTTTCGTTAATCACTAATCTGTTGCCAATACGAGGCGAGATCCGCGCCGTGATATCCAGTCGGGCGCTGATATCACGGCCCTTCGTTAGTCGTTTGCAACCGTTTGGTAAGGCTTTCCAAGGTTTTGGAGCTTGAACCGAATGTGGGCGGCATGGTCTCGATGGCTCAGGTGGTAAGCGATATGTTCGGGCCTTAGCACGAGAGGTATATCCGGTCGGTCTAGGACATAACAGTCCTCCGTTTGACGTGCTTGATTATCTGACAATGTTCTTCGAAGTCGTTCAAGGCTAGGACCGATTCCGAACCATGACTCGAAGAGACTCTTGCCCCGATTTCGGCCCCCTGTCATCATGTCTCGAGCTTGACTTATTTTGTCGAAGATCGGGGTGTACCATGAGTTCGATTTTAACCGTATACAACTATCGATAAGCGAAATGTCTAATTTGAAAGGGAGGTAGGGAGGGAGTACTCCACTCCTACTCATTTTGCAATGACTGTTGTAACGGCAAACATAGAAGGGACCACTTTTCAGAAATATATTACGGCTAATGTTTGTAATAATTTGGCTAGATTGGTAACATTGACGCTTTGTATAGTAGTAATTTGCATGGTAGTATTTTGCCATCCAATGGCTTGTGTTTTGGCCAAGGATGTGGCTATTCTACGAATGATGTAAAGCCACATTAAGTACTTAATGAAAATATATGACGTGTAAACTAGAAATATAGAAATTGTTATAACATAGAGCCAAAAAAAATAATAACAAGAAGTTAAATAGAATTACCTGTAATTATTATTTAAGTGATTTGATTATGTAATATTATCAGTATTGTACGCTCAAAATGTATATAATTTAGAAATAAAACAAAAAATAGTGAAACGAATAAAGGAAGAAACATGTTCAATTATATTGCAATTGAGATATCGAATACCAATTTACGTAGTATCTCCTATTCTTGAAAGTTTTCCTTACGTAGTATTTCAATTAATTTATTTCCTAAGAACACGAAATGTTTGCCAAAAAGTAAGATGGAAACAAATTAACAACTAATTGGTTAGATCAATTATACAATCGTCATCGATTTAATATTATGAATCACAAATTGGCTTAATCTCCATTGATTAGAATGTCAAAACTTGATTTGAAAATTTTAAACTACCTTCTAAATTTTCCTTAATAAATATTTTAATATCATACCTACTTTTCTTTGGTAGCCTTTTAATTTAATTTCTATCATAACCTATTAATCCTAGCAGCCACAAATTACCTTACTAAAAATGACCCTTTGACGAATGATGACTGCGCAACGATGTCAAAACTAAATTTGACTTTGAAAAAGTATATCAGTATAGGACAAATAAAAGTAAGTTACATTTCTTTTAAAGATTAAAATGATTTTGGTTCCTTTCGGACATTTTATATACAACTTCACAAATATTTTGAAAAGTATAGACAAAATAGTTATTTGGGAAGTCAATAATCCTTTTTAACTATGATTCCTTTTTTTTCAGTTTTTTTAGAATAATTTTACGACTTATAGTATTCCCTCAGATCCAAAAGAATGACGAGAATATCAATTTATTAGCTTTTTCCTCTATGGAACTTATATGTTTAAACTATGTAAAGACGTAAAAACAAAAATTGTTATGATTTTATTTAAAAATTCTTAAACAAATAAAATTATTTGACAATAAGAAATAAAGATAATAGTATAATTTTCTAACTAGTTGATTAAACTTTTTATGTAATTTACATTGTAATTTCTTTTTTTGAAAAATTTAAGGAATGGTTGTTGGATAATTTATACTGGAAATTAAATTCATTGATCTGTATTCTAAACTTTGTCAGTTTCTTTTAGAACAGATAAAGTATTAATTTAAAAAAAAAAAGAAGTTACTACTTTTTTTATGGTTGAATTAAAAAAGAAGTTACGAAAGTTAAGAAGGCAAAAGGAAAATAAAGGTTAGAGGAAATCCTATTATTTAGGCTTTCACAAATAACCAAACTGACAAATCTTTGATTTCCCTCTAATATCTCCTAATTTTAAACACCCAAAAAAAAAAAACTGACCATTTCTTTTTCCTTTCCGTTGCTATCCATAATCCTAAAATACTGAATCCAAAAAACACACACAAAAAACTCCTTCAATTCAAAACCTCCAAATTAGGAATGGAATTAAATTTAATTGTAATTTCTAATCATTCATTCATTTTGTTACAAAACTTCTGACCCGATAGTTTAGTCACAAAATCTGCATGTAAAAGGTTACCAGTTATAAATTTTCCCTTCAATGCTTCCCCTCCTTTACTTCCTGCAACTTTTCAGTTTTTCAGTTTCCATAATTTTGAATCAACAAAATTATTTCTATACTATAAATACAGAACAGAACAGAAGAAAGAGACCCCACCATCTTCTGTTTATTTTTCTTCTTATATTTATTTATGTATTCAATACATAAGTCATAGGTCTGGCGTACCCTAAACCAAGAAACATGTCACAAATATTGTCATAGGTTTTGCCAACGGATTATATAGAATCCTCTCCTCTGCTTTTGGAACAAATCAAGTTCTTATTCTGAACCACAAGTCCACAGCCCAACTTGTTTCCTTCTTCTTTTGGTTGATTTTTTTTGGCTAGAAAAAAAAAAGGGCAGTTCTTGTTTTTGGTTGTGCACGTTTTACAAATATGGCCATTCAAGCGCAGTTGTATTCGGATAATCTTGGGTTTCCTTTGGTAAGTTCACAGGATTTAATGGAGAATAATGCTTGTGGATTTAACCAGTTTTATTTTAATCCTCAACAGCAACAACAACAACAATTTCTACAAATCCAACAGCAGCAGCAGTTTCAAATTCTGAACCAGAAAAATAATCACATTTTGATGAACTTCAGTACAACTGGCCATAACACAAATTCTAACCAAACAGTGTTGTTTCCTCAAAGCCTAGCCTGCCAATTAGAGAAACAGAGGCTTGAGATTGATCAGTTCATCAATTTACAGGTTATTCTTGTAACTTTTACTATTTTCTCCTTCCATTTTATATATATGACATTCTGTTCTTTTTAGTATATTTCAAAAAGAATTACACATTTATATATTTTAGAACTCAATTTTTGTTTCTACACCCATATAAATGTTTTTAAGACCTCAAGCTCTAAGGGTAGTATTTTTGATAAGCAGCAAAAATTTCTCTCTCTATTTTTAACTTCGTTTTCGGTGAAACACCGCATAATAAAATGCAATGAATAAATTAATAAATTTCAATTAATTTGTGCGTATACTATTTCAGACTTGTGAGATTATATTAGATTTGTTGTCGTTATGTCCATATGCAGCATCTAATATTTTTTTTTTTTTTTGATAAACAGAAGGAGAGTCTGAGATTGGCTTTGCAGGAACAAAGAAAGCAACAACTAACATTAATATTGAGAAACTACGAAACAAAGGCTCAGCTTTTACTAAAACAAAAGGACGAAGAAATTACAAAGGCAATGAACAAGTCAAAGGAGCTACAAGATTTCGTTAAAAGAATAGAAATAGAGAATCAAACATGGCAAAGCATAGCCAAAGAAAACGAAGCCATTGTCCTATCTTTAAACGACACAATTGAACAGCTAAGAGAAAGTGCATGTGTTTTATCAACCAATGGAGGTGCAGTAGGAGATGCACAGTCTTGTTGTGATGTACAACAAATGGAGCATAACGTACAAGCATCACAACAACTGAGTCTTGAGACAGGAAATGAGGAACAACAAACGAGGAAAATGATGTGCAAAAGCTGCAATTGTAGGAAATCGTGTATTGTTTTCTTGCCTTGTAGGCACCTTTCTTCTTGCAAAAATTGTGACCCTTTTCTACATTCATGTCCTGTCTGTAGAATTGAGAAGAAAGCAAGCATTGAAGCTTTGATTTGATCTTCTCTTATTAAAATGACTAGTGTTTCTTGTTTCCAAGAAGAAAAAAATTGAAGTCACATTTCATCAGAAGAGGGTAAGGGAACAATAAGTTGGTAGAAAAGGGGTAGGATGTTATTTTGATTTTTAGGTTCGCTATTTTGATATTCTTTAGTCACGCAGAAAAGTTATTCTATATTTCATTGATTTCTTTGATAATCTTGTATTTTCTGTTCACTTACTAGGGAATTCATCTTAAAAAAAAATTTACTCTTTTTTTCTATAACAACAACACAACTCGGTGCACAAATAATTTTGTATTCACGCAAGTTTCGAAAAGGACCGCATCTTAAGAGTGTTGTGTAGGGAAAAAAGAGTATTGTGTGGTAGAATAGTCATTCTAAATTCATTTATCTTTTTTACAATCTTGTATTTTCTGCTCACTTATTAGGGGGATTCATCTACTTTTGTATTTGTTTTTTTATTTTAATTTTTATAACCATCTAGCATTTAGCATCTTGACTCGATTAATTCAGATTCAAAACACATTAAAGGGAGTTTCATTCCTAGACTCTGACCAAACTCTAATTAAAGATGGTGTTGTACGTTTTTTTTTTAAATATACCACCGAACTTAACAAAACAATTAACATGTGCCATTGGGGACGTTAGAGGGTTAGTATGTGAAGGAGGGTTTCGATAATATCACGTGGCAAAATTTGGTAATAATTAGAGATAAGATGAGGTTCTGTTAGCGGGTAATGGCACATATAGTCCAAATTCGAAACGGTGACGGTATATTTAAAATCAACTCTTAATGAGCGACATATGTTTAATATTTTTTTCGCACCACTTTAATTGATTTTTTGTTTTTTTATTTGTACTCCATAATATTTGATTTTTTTTCAGATATCAATAAGGAATCAATTTTTTTTTTAAAGTTACCCTTAAAGTAAAGAGTCTCTGTTATATTTTTTATGAACAAATTAAAAACATAGTAAAAATTGATCATAAAAATTAATATGATCAATTTTTATTTTTAATTAATGTTAAAAAGTAAATTCTTTAAGGTGTGTGTAAATAAGTGAAAAATCAATTGAAGTAGATCCGAGGTAAAAGCATATTTGAGCTTTTCCCCATTTATTTTTTGGACTTGTTAATTTTGTGTACTTTCTGACGAAGCACCAGATTCTGATTAATTGAACAGAGTTATTAGTAGTAGAGGACATAGCATCTTCTTTTAATTTTTTTTCTTGAAAACATTAGTCTTACCTTGTCGGGGGTTTCAAATCTTTCACTTTAGAATTGATTTGATTATTCATATCTGATTTTAGCAGTCGTTTCTAATGTGTGTTGAAACCGAGACTGTGAGTGGATGTCAAATATAAGTATGGCCTGCTACTGGTTCAGTCAGTCCATTTTTATATTAGTTGATTTTCTCTTCCAAGGAATCGAGCTTTTTTGTTTCATTCGGAGCAGAAAAATTATACGTCCTACTACTAGCAATTTATTGATTTTCGATTGGTTCACGTGCAATTGTTTAGGGAACAATAAACTGTCTTCTATTATAAAAACAATACTAGTTCTCAAGAACTGCCTTATATGCCGCGGCAGAATTAAATTTTTTAATAAGGGAGTCAAAATATAAATAATAAAAAATTTACAAAAATATTCAGAGGAGACAATTTATAATATATATATATA